TTCTTCTATTATTCTATTCTATTCTATTCTATTCTATTCTATTCTATTCTATTCTATTCTATTCTATTCTATTCTATTCTATTCTATTCTATTCTATTCTATTCTATTCTATTCTATTCTATTTCTATTTCTATTTCTATTTCTATTTCTATTTCTATTTCTATTTCTATTCATTTTGGTTACCCATGCCATATACTCCCAAAGGTGCATAAGGAGGAGTCACATTGGTCAGTTTATTTGTTCTATTTGTTATAGCATTTGCTTTCTATAAAACCAAAAGTACTAAAAGAAAAATATAATTTACAAAGTTAAAATGTATGGTTTGATCAGCTTCCCCCAACATCTTGCTTCCTGTTGTTCCCTTTGCATATCAATTCCAGAAGAAGGCATATAAAGTAATTTAGAAATGGGCTGTGCACTTGTACCCTATAGGACAACTCAGATTGTCAAGTAGAAACTAATATGAGTACTGTTACCATAAAAGCAACCGACTGTCGCAACTTGACTCCTGGCTTATCATCAGAATCACAATGATTTTGTGACATAACGGTCTTTCCATGAATAATGCCAATCTGTCAAAACCAAAAAGCAGAAAAATATTTCTTATTTGCTGAAGCATCTCAAATTTAAGTGAGTTGAAGACTGTGATTTTTAAGTTACTTGTTCAAAACAAATACACAACATTCTGAAATTATTTATTTCATTCAAGGACTTTTTTTTCCCTTATTACTCATCTGAGAATATTTTACTATTTTGGATTGTCCTAGATGACAATTAATTTAGAAATTTTTAGGAACCCCTTTCCTCCATAATTAGAATATTAAAATTGCTAGAACTTTTACACATTAGAGAAATTGTATATCTAGTAGTCAGAGTCACTGAAAGGTAGCCTGAGGAACCAGAAAGACATATTGCCGCTGACAGTCTGTTTTTCCGACAGTCATATGCGAAACATTCATTAATGATGTTCATTGTTCTGTGTATGTTATATTTATGCTATTAAAGCATCATTAATGCTTTAAAGATATAAGGAAAATTCCACCACATGCAATGTCCACTGACACAGGGCAGATTGCTTCAGTGCAATATATGATTACAAAAGATAACTACCAGTCTGTTCAGCTGATATTCCGATGTAAAATAAATAATTAATTTAGGGTCAAAGTGAACAATAGATCACTCTTGTATGCATTATTTCTTGTTTGATTATTTCCTCTTTTATGCATCACATAAGTGAAGGGCAGATTTTTCAGTTCTACTGTTGTCAGAGGACTAATGTTAAAATTTTGCTTGTCTGTATTTCTCTTTACTTACTGTAGGGTTGTGGGATTGGTTTTTTTTTTAATTTAAATTACTGAAATTGGTAAACTATGCTACTATATTAAAAATACAACAAATATGGGTAACACAGTAAAAGTCTAAATCAAATCTGACTGAACAGAATGTGTATAAGAACTAGTCCAACTTAATAATCAGTATTGAAGTACTACTTCAGGTGAGATGCCAGATCTCTTGGGGAATAAAACCAGAGTGGATGTGCCCCGTTAGCAGAAGTTACAATTTAAGACAAAATTATCATCTATTCTGTGGTACGTGAAGGTTTTGTGCAGGGCAGGAAAATGAGCAGACAGTGACCTTAATACTCAGAATGAGTGACCATTCCCTCCTGTGAGCAAAGAGCCAGGTTTGCTATTAAAAGTTTTTCTTTCTTAGTTATGTCAGTAAGAAATTATGTTAGTTAGAAATTGAAATTTAGAAACCCAACACCTGCAGGTAAGGCAGCTTTTTAGGCTAAAGCCTGGGGGGGAAAAAAATGGCTTTTTTTTTTCAGACAGAAGCTTTGGGAAGCTGTTATATATTATGTGGCCAAATCCATATATGTATATATAAGTATATGTATTAAATATATATATTTTATATATATATAAGGTCTCTCTTTGCCAGTAGTAAAATGTATCTTGAAGAAAAGAGGTTATGGACATACCCATCTAGAGCAGCCATGCAGCAAGGCCCCTGTGCCTGAGATCCAACAGACAAGTACGTGTGCACAGTGACTATTTTCTGGCATTTCCAAAGTCCAGCCATTTCTAACGCCGGCAAGGAGAGTTTCCGAATTTCCTTTTTCCTGTCCTCTCTCTCCTGAACTCTGCAGGCATGATCTGCCCTCCCTTCCCTCTCTCCCCATCTCTTTCCCGTTAGAAATGTCACTATCCCCATCTGCTGCCCCTGAAGTCCCTGTGCTGGCAGGAACACACAGGCAGAACGAAGCAGCTGAAGTCATTCAGCATAATATGCTACACTGACACTTCAAAAGCAATTACTAGCATTTTCTGCTGAGAAAAAAACTGTGCAAAAGGGATTAATGCTGCTGTGTTTCTCTTTTGACGCCTGTTACAGAGATCAGAATGCATCTCCAGCATTATCAAGCCCAAGTCCTTCTTGCTGCAGGCACCATATAGTTTATTTGTTCAGTATGAGTATGTGTGATTTTTACCAGCTAAGCTAACTGGTGACTGAGGGATTGCTTATGCCTGCCAGTACATCTCTGGAAACAAGATATGCTATCATAATACCTGAATTATGTGGAATTTTCTTTGTGTGACTATCTCAAATGATGTTACAATTTCAGCCAGCAAATGTATATGTTATTGTGATCAGCAGGGTTTCTCTCATTTGAAATTATGCATGCTTTACTGTTTTTATCAAATGAAACTGTAATAACACAGCTCAAAAAGTGTGCGCTCTTATTGGAAAACACATTTTACAGGAACTGCTTCTTCTGATAATTACATATTTGGCGACAGAGGGTGAGGGGGTGAAGAAAAGCTATTTTCCCATCTGCAGCAAATCCTGACAGCGACTTAAAAACAACAGTAATGAGGGAGAGCTAAAGAGATATTTGTGAAGGCTTTAGCTATTAGTTTCAGATAAGTATGCCACACGCAAGGCCTGCCTTGATTTATTTCAGTTTGCAGGGGAGGGGGCTTTGCACTGCTCACTGGAATTCTTGGCAAGATACAGGTATCTCAGGATGTATAGGGCTCACTGAACATTTTAAGCAAGACATACTTAGTGAATGGTTTACTTCACAGCATTCACTCTGGACAGAGCCGGGAAATGAAGAGGTAAAAAATGGATTGAAGTATACTGACCCAATAAATTAAAGGGAAATATTAAGACCAGTCGAAATACTCATCCTAAGTAGACTCCTCTTTGCTGTAGAGCCCTGAGTATGGGCTCAGGGAAGTCTGGAAAGGAAAAACGTTAAATGATGACTGTTGTCAACTCTGGACAACAGCAGAAGAAAGGAAAGCCTGTTACAAGCTCTATCCAGGGAACAAGACACACAGAGCAAACCTCTGCCTTCAGCTGTGCCCTTCACCCTACGGTAACACGGCAATTTCAGGGTAAGCTCTTTGCGTGATCTTACGCCTTACAAAAATCTGTCTCCTCTCCTTGTCCATGGGGGAACATGGCACGACAGCCACCAGCACTGCAATAAGTGGAAAACTTCTGTCATGTGCAGGAGAGAGCTTGAGGCCTTTGAAAGGTCTTTGCTTTATAAAGTTGTGGCTCCTGCATTCTGCCTCGCAATCCTATCTGCTGGCATGTGTAATCATAACCCTTCAGCTGAAGATCTACACTATAAAAGTCTGCAATGCAAGTTACTAAATACATATGTTTATCTGTAAATGTCCCTGTTTAGATACAGAAATTCTATTTCTACCTTTACATACACTGTAAATTTTCTGTAACATCTAGAAGGCATTAAAATCTGTGCTTATGAAAAATACAGTATGGGAATGTCCTTGATTTCCAGGAGCTCTTATTCTCTCCTACCTGTGGTACTTGCTACTTAATAAACAAAACATTTCTTCTAACACCCCAAAAAATTCAGGGCAGAAAAAAACTCAGAACACTTTACGACTAAAAACTGTTTTGAGGATTCACATAGTGGTTGCTGGTCACTGTGAAATGGGTACACAGGGACATCTTACAGTATGACTGTTCCCTAGACCAGTAATACTATATGAAATGAGCAAAAAGCAGGTTTTGGCTATCAGTCTCTCTGGCTGATATTTTGACTGACATTTTAGATGAAGAGAAAACTGACTGTGACTCTAGTAACTTGGTTCAAATTTAATCAGGAGCTGCTGTGATACTCTGTCATGGACTGCTACTGGAACGGTCGGTGAGCTGAGCACAAAAACAGATGCTTTGTCTTTGCTGCTTGGATGTAATCATGGCTTCTTGTCTCCAGCCATGATGCAGTTCTACTTCTTATATTTTTATTGACTCTTGATGATTTTGCTTTAGACTGCCAAACGAGCTATACCGAAACCAAGTTTTAAATGGAGTATCTATGTACTTGGGTGCGGGGTTTTTGTTGAGTTTTCTGACACCCAATTTGAAAACTATTTTTACATGCAAAGTGCAATTAAAAACTTCACTTCTGTTAATTTTCATGCTTTGGTATTTAGCAGCCTGCAAAAGTTGGTTTGTTCTGTTTTTTTTGTTTTTTTTTTTTTTTTTCAGGCATTTGGAAGCAATCTGCTAGACACATCATGACCTAGCAGTCAGCTCAGTGTGCAACTTCAACACCAGCCCATTCATTAGGGAAATATGTCTGAACCCACTAAGCAACAACTGGCCGGGGGCTGAGGGTGAAAGAGGAGATGGCATCCTTATGTCATAGGGAGGGTACCTACCTGCCTGAGGGCAGGAAGCATACTACACTGCACCAGTCAGCTGTCTTTCACCATGCAGTGGCACCAAAGCACCATGAAGCCTGAAAGGATGCCAACTCTCTTTCTGGGGACCAGATCTTATACTCCATCCAAAACTTACTGAAGGTCTTAGGTATTGGAAGCACAGCAGAGACAGAAGGTGAATACTGAATGTCAGGCTGCCCAAGAGAAGGCAGAAGCCACAGCAAAACCTTTAGACATGCTTTTGATAACTAAGAATAAAAAACAATTCTCAAATTGATTATACAAACAAGTTTTATTGTTAAAAGAAAAAAAAAATCCACGACAGAGTTCTCAGATTCAGCTGATGGTTTATTTTAAATTGAGTACTGGTAGACTTCTGATTCTTGCACTTCAAAACTTCTTGTATTAGTTTAGCACAGTCTGAAGGACTCTGCTATTTTATAACTCAAGGCTCAGAACCAAAATGCAGTCCTCGGCCTGACAGCCCGTCAGGGTTATTCTGTGGATTAATCAGGATTCCTGGTTCCCAGAGATTTTGTGCACATTGGCTGAGCATCTGATTACAGCAGTGCTATAAATGGGTAAGACCATCCATCATGTAGCTTTCCAGACAGTACATGATGTAGTCTACCTCAAGAAAATTAGTGTGCTTATTATTTCGCAGCTCGGATTCCAGTTGCTTGTAGAAGTGACTTCCATATTCTAGAATTATTTGAAACATTTGCTGCATTCAGAAAGCGTCTTGTTTTACTATCATTGTGAAATTCAAGCACATGAGTATATTATTGTCCGAGTCATCAGAGAAACTTTGCAAAATAATGTTATAATTGCCCTAAACCAAGTAAGAAAAAAAAAAGAAAAAAAAAGAAAATTAGTGCATGATGCTGCCTGCCCTTGTTTGAGTAGCTGCTTGGAATGGTTCTGGTGATTTCTGTTAGGACTGAAAAAAAGGACGATTCCTATCAGGGACTGATATAGGTATATTCATATATATGTGTACATAAAAAAAATAGTGCTCAACTTTCTTCTCATGACCAGGGTACGAAGGATTAGCAGTAGGCTGTGATCCAGCTTGCACTTCTCAGGGTTCTCTCTTAAATCACTGTGCTCCTGAGGGCACCTGCTCCCCCTTCCAGAGCTTTTCTCTTGAGCAATGTTTCTGTTTCCAAAACAGGAATTAACTGAGATGATACACCAGGCTGCATTCAGCAGCAATGGTCTTTTTTGTCCCCACTGTGAGGCAGTAACCTTATTAGCTCTTATAGCTTACATCCAGTGAGGATTCAGTCCTACCAACACTTCCATTTTCTGTTGACTTTCTGCCATCTTCTTGCCCCAGTACCCATACACACACCGTAGGTAGTTGCAACAACAGCCTCTGTATTTTACAGGCAGTCCATACCACACACTTTCTGACCAGTCTTTTAACAGAGTTTGTTGTACTGGACAGTCCATCGTTTTGTTTTCAACTCTAATCACATATTGGATATTTAACTGCTATTCAGCCTCAGTGGTGTTTACCAAAATTCATCAACTTATAATGAACATATGATGTGAAGACATCAAATGTCTGCTTGATGAAAGCTAAAGTAACCTCATACTATTATTGGTGGCAAAAAGTTTGTCCTGAGTTTGGACATGATGGCAAGATTAGACCGAAGTACACTAAAGAGAGAAGAGTAGGAGGAAGGACACATGTGAGAAGTCATTCTTTAGTCTCTAATCAAAGTATAGCCAGCACTTCTCCTACTGTGAGGTCTCAAGCCACCTGCTTAAACCACGCTGTCAGTGTCCAGCTCACCTCCCTACATGGAGCATCTGTTCCTGGACTAGCAGGATACTGCTTGTCTGAACCTTAGCCATAAGCCCTGTTCTCAGCAATACCAGTCCTCGTGTCAGCTCAGCATTCCTTCCAGACCCACTGCTTTGCTCATCCACATCCAGCAATGTGATCCATAAAGCAGCATCATCCCAGTTTTAGCTGTTGTCTAGCTACCCATCTTCATACCCTTGCACAGACTTTTGTAGGCACCAGGACAGAAGACAGCTTGGTGGCCCCTACTGAACCCAGGTGTTCTTCTTTGACATCTGTCACCTTCTTCTCGTATGGCAAACTAGGGCTGCACACTTGGGAGCTGAAGGACTCTCAGCACTAATCTAGAGACTGGGAGGATTGCAAGAGTTTCTAGTTTACAGCAAAGGCTATGATTAGGGTTAGTTCCTAGTCTGGCAGAGTCCCATTGGGAAGTGTCAGGCCTGCTATAAGCATCTCATCTACAGGAAGACTCTTTATGGCGGAGGACATCTACTACCATGTCTGGGGCTAGAAGAGATGCTGGGCCAGATGGAGTTCAACACTCTTATTGGTCCATGAGCTTTGAGTTAAGGGGAGGCTGGAGATTTTGTACCAGTAGGAGCTACTTAGTGACATTTGTGGGATTAATAGGCACAATGAGGGCCTTGGGAAGGCTCAGGCAGCTGATGAGGCAGGTGTTGGATGACAGCAGGCTAACCTGAGGACTGGTGCTGCTCCTGGTTTAACACTGGAGCATTGATTTCACTTTTGGATACTGTTATGCCTCTTCAAATCTTTGAAGAGGGTTTCAGGGAGGAACAGACAAGTGTGTGAAGAGAACATAAAGAACAAAATGAGCAGAAAGAATATGGATGGATTTACTCAAACAGGTTAGAGGAAACACAATAATTTAGAAAACAAAATGGAATGATTAAGGTGATATTAGCTGTTATCCTTGTTTTTTTCTTTTATAAAATAAAGGAGGAATAATAGAAGAATAATCTGAAGACATCTAGCATTTCAGAGATGTTACCATTCTGGAATCATCACTTCAAGCATGATAAAGTTTTCTGACATTTCCTTTTGCTGTTTTCTATAGTTTGGGTGAATATCTATTTTCAGAAAATATATACACGTAAGTATGTGATTTTACTATTGTTATTTCTTTATATAAAACACTGAAAAGTACCTTTGGAAACTGTATTCTTGAACCTTTAATGTCAAATACTGTTGCAAATGATTCTGTAAAACAGAGATAATTATAATATAAATGGATACTTAATCATAATATCATCAATCAAACTTCCTAAATAACTTCAAAGCAATATGGCATATCTCTCAGCAGCAGTGCCAATGTCATTCACTTTTGCAGTGATAAAACCCTCACCTGTTTCTTCTCCCAGACCTCTGCCTATTTGTCTAAACCATGTTAGAAAATGTAAATTAACCACAATGCTCCTGCAACATCTCCTACAGACCCATACTACTGTAATAACACCAATAATTTAACTTGTAATAGTAATTCAGATGAATGATAAATGAAGACAGCTGATACACATTTTTTAAAGAAAAGAAAACATGGACTGAGTATTTTGACCTCCTTACAGGTCTTTTTGGGCTTTAGTCTGATATCCTGCCAGAATTCTCTGGATCTGAGCCTGTGTCATGTTAATGTTGGTTAGTACCTACAACAGGACTGATTCGTCTGTAATAAAAAGAGCATTATACACAGATGCAGAGAATCTCTTTAAAAAGCCATCCAGACACTTATCTAAATAAACTCTGTTCTGGATACTAGTAGTGCCCCTAGATCCTCTCAAGTTTTCTCTTCAGTCCAGTCAAATGTAGTCTTTCCATGTCATTTTAGAGATATTAACAACAAAACTGTCATAATGAAATGAAGGATATTAGTAATGCTGATTTATAGAGATGGAAACTGCAGCACAAGGATTTTAAAGCACAGAATTTTGAATTCTTTATTTTAGTGGGGTTCTGGCACAGGAGAACTGCCTGCTCTGAAGTCTGCTGCCTACCCAGCAAGGTGAATCACTCTAGATTGTGAAGAGCAAAGTCTGTTTGCATGGGTTGATCAATTAGTCTTTTAAGAAATCTGCTTAGTGGTGAAAAAGGATGGCAGGATATTGTGCTCTTGTTAAAGGAACCTGACAAGCAAAGGAAAGGCACCATATATTTTCCACACTGACCTCCTTTCAGTGTTCCGCACACTGAGTATATGTCATCGGATCCACTGCAAAGGACTTCTTTCCAGTGTAATGCATTGGCACCTTCGTACCAGACGTTGAAGACAATCTTCAAAAAGGTGATGTCACTTCCTAGTTAAGACATTGCATATAAGAAAATGGCAGCTGGTGGGAAGGAAAAACATATATGCAGACATGCTATTTAGATAAATCTAGTCTTCTCTGAAATACAATCTTTTTTAAAGACTCCCCCCAAAAATAACAAAAATACATATCTTGAAAACTGTTGCTTCCAGAAAAACAAAAAGCTGGTTTTCAACAAAAAGCACGGCCTTAAAAAATATTTGAGTGAACAATTTCAAAATCAATTTTTTATTTCTTCAACAGAGATAACAAAGTTCACTCAGCTCCACAGCTCTCCGAAATAAATTCTTAGATGAGGACTCTAGTTTTAAGCAGGCATTACAAACAAGCTGTCCTGAATGCTGATTGTCATCATAAAGATCTTTCTAGGGAAGCAAACTTAGTCCAGCTCCAGCATTTTTACTCAGAAGGTGAAGTTTGTGGACAGCTTAAACCTGCATTAAAGATTAAAGTTGGGTCTGCATAAACAAATCAGTACCATTTCCAGCTTCTGGAACATGCTTATTCTTAGTAGAAGTCCTGCCATACTTGGATAGCCTGATATTCTCTCTCTTTAAAAAGATGTGGATCTTTTTCAGGCCAGAAGAGCTGGTGTGCTGCAAATCTTGTTTCCTTCTTCCAAATGCACGTGTACCTAAACAGTCTCAGATTTGCATGTACAGTGCCAGTTAGCATGCAGAGCTACTCCAACAAGGAAAACTCAAACATGCTTATTTCCACAAATCATCATTTCTGTCCACCAGTACAGTTTATCTATTCCATTTTTTAATCACAGTAACTGATCTCTTAAATCATTTGGCATTTAGTATAAAGTGTCAGCTTTTTGCTTGTATTCGTTTTTTTGCATTTGCAGAATAGAATTGTCTAGTCAAGAGGGACTCACTTGGAATCCAGGTAAGAGCAGCCTTCCAGACAGATTTGTTCATGCTGCAAGGTGTCAGATTAAACATGAAAGTATGAGCTGTAGAATCTACAGGAAAAAAAGTATTGCGAATTGGTAGTGTGAATAGGCTTCTCTAGGAAAATAACAAAAATATACATACACACACACTCACAATAAACACATACACATTTGAAAATGTATTTAATATAAGGTGTACATACTATAAAATTGTTTTACTGTGAATATCCACAGTAAATATTAAATATGTATTTTAAATTATAGACTGACGTACTAAAAGTAATTATTAGTAAATACTAAATATGTATTTTTTATAGACTTATTGGGAAAAAAATCATATTTCTTTAAATAGCAAGAAAAGTCAATTGTTTGGTTGGTGGTATTTTGCACTCAAAACTCAAACGTATCTTTATGCTCTTATGTAGTTACACAAACTTTTTATTAGCATTAAGACAGCATGGTCCTCTACTGAAAATATCCCTACTTATGCTAACTGTGGAATCTATATAAAGTTGCTGAGAACAGCTAAAAATGTTTTTAACATACCAGTGTATTTTCCAGGATAATGTAAATGAGCCTTTGAGTGGTTTTGCTTTGTGAATGACTCACCTAGCATTGTACAATGCACAGTGTCAGATGCAGTGTGATGAAGCATCGTACAACCTGTACCTAATCAAATTTAGAGCCCATTAGCTGATACTTTAATTTTTTAAAAAAATCATTCTGTGATAGTCTTTGGAAGGGTTTCCAGTCAGTAGTTTGATTTTTATTTTAATTTTAGGAAAGAAATCTGTCCAATTTAGCTTTCTTCTGCCCTCCCTAGCGTGCTCAGGCTGAAGAAGTGCCCTGCTCTCCGCAGACCTGGTGGCAGGGTAAGGCAGGGGTGCTCCCCCTCCTAACCCAGCCAGCAAACAGGATGGCAAGGTGGTTTACAGTAAAGGGTTCTGTCTTGTGACTCGGGGATTAAAGCAAGGGGTGTGAAAAGAGAAAGTGTCTGACTGTCGGGAACCAGCAGTCAGTTTCTCATCTCGGTTACAACCACGCACAGGAAATTACATCAGGGAAAAGGGCAAACAAAACTCACCACGATCTTGAAGGTTTTGTTTGTAAGCTTGAGTACCATCACCTTTGCCCTTGTTAAATTTTTAATGTGAGTATTAATGTAAAGCAGATCACCCAAAATAAAAGTCCTGTGCCTCAGTTTATTTTATGGGTGATATACTCCAGTAATGCACACAGATTTTCAAAAGACATGGGTCTTTCCTTGCAAAATATCTCCTCAAAAGCCCACCTGCCCACAGAGTCTGCATGGGCACGCTGAGCCTGTTCAAAACAGACATCAGGGAGGTGCCAAGTTCTTGCAGAATTGACCAAAAAACTCAGTGAACTACATAGATCCATGGCCTACAAGAAGACACAGCAAGAAGAGACATGTCATGTTGTCCCAGAGCCTGACTGATCCTCCAGTCTGGAAGAATATCACATTCCCTCTTTTATTCCATATACTTCAAACTTTTCATTTTAATATATCAGTTAAATCAATGTGGATAATATATACAATACAGTACTTGCAAAACAAATTTAAACCCCTTATCTTCTAACATTTCCTGCATCAAAACATGCCTTGTTTACTTGGGCATAAACTTCTCTCTTCGCTGCTACAAACAGCATTGTGGTAATATTTATGCCTATGCAGTATAATTTTTATAATAGGGCAATTAATAACAGAAATATTCTCTAGCTGAATTTTTTTTTCTCTATTAATCAAAGACACAAATTTGAAAGAAAGTTCATGTTTCCTCAGACTACAGTAATTGCTGTGCAAACACCAGTAAGAAAAGAATAAGCTATTTTTTACTTACCACAGAAAGTATACGACAGTTCTAGATCTGACGACGTACAAAGAAATTCACTGACTCCAGAGGTGAATAAAATGAAAACCAAAATTCCAAACATAGTCACTTATTTTGCTCAGTATTCGATGGAATAAAACTTTCTTTTGTGGAAAGAGGAACAAAAATTCAGCGCAGTCATCCTCAGTCACATGTCTTCAGGGAATATTTGGTTATTTTGTCAAATTCTCTGCAATCTTAATTAATCCTACCGCAACACTCTCAGTTATCATCACAATAAATTTTGTGAAGAAAAATAATTTCTGCCTTTATTGTTACATTTTCCCCAGACAACGCAGCTCAAACCATGAATGAAAAATGAAAGAAAAAACTGTGTGAAATGGGGAAGTGGGGAGAAGTAAAATTATGATTACCAGAAGCATGTAAAAGGCAAGTTTATTTGACTCATCAGACATAACATTCACTAAAGCAGAATTTCAAACACTCACAGAACTTCCTGTACATCCTAAAGAAGAGAAAAATCCACAAATGATGAAAATCAGTCCATTCTTTTATTTATATGGTAGTCAGTAACAAGTTTTCAGACTTAATTTCTTACAAAGCTCACCATGCTTTAAGAACACACAGGCATTCTGGAGGTGTGTAAATAGATGATGTGTTTCCAAAGTGAGACCTGAATGCAGTCATCTAACATGTTATTGAGTAGAACCACTGATGTCGTGCATGATGTCAGCTACCATCTTCAAAGTTGTGTCTATCAGTTACACTTCTTAGTGAAAGCAATCTTAAAAATCCATAAAATCAGAACTGAGAAGTCCCACGTCCGCCTCCCAGCCTCCCTCTGTGACCTTCTCTGGTGCTCTTCCTCACAGTCTGCTGGAGAAGCTGCGCTGCACAACTTGCCCAAGAGCACAGAGCCCAACTGCTGACTGATGTGCCAGTGCAGTGCACAGGCATGGCTCCAGGTGGACTCTGAACACCAGACAATAAACAACAAACGGTGTCAAATTTTGACTGAGATGTTTCTATAAGGACACAGAATCTACCTGTCACAACTGAAGATTTTAACCTGGGATGCTGAAAACAGTCCAGGTTGCAGATTTTGGTGGTCAGGTTTGAAACACTGAAACAAAAGCTCTCAAAGCACTTTTGGTATTACACACCCCCTTAGTTCTGTCTGTTAGTGCAATTCACAAAGAATATATTTTGCCTGTATCTGCTATATCAATTCTGTGGATTAAACTGGGTCAGCTTTTACTGCACAAACCCATCAGTATTGCTAGTCCCAAGTAGAGAAACAAATCCAAAATAGACTAATACCTCATTTAAGAGAACACCATCTAACTGACAGGAAACACAATTACATTTTTTCTTCTGAATATAATAAAATATGGAAACTTACTGAATTTATGGAAGAATGATTTACAGAACTTAATCAAATTATTTCCTCATGAGCTACCTTTTTGATTTGCATGTATGCTTGTGAGCTCCTCTTAGATCAGAAATTATATTTTATACAAAAAAAGAAGCAGTATAGACAAGTATTTGGTTTTGTGCTAAGCAGGAAACTCAATAAAAATTACTTACAACAAATATAATTTAATCAACTCTTCTGACTTTCCCTACTCCCCACCACAATGTCTAAAAGCACAAATTCTGTGCACACCAGGGTGATATTTTACATATTATAAATGTAAAGTAGCAAAAGATAAAGAAATTGGCTTTTATAAGTCGTCTGAACATGTAACACAAAATATAAGAGTAGCAACATGCACAATAACATGACTGATTGTGCCCAGATGGGAAGAGTTCACAGACCAGTTAAAGCAGATGACAGAATTCAATTAAAAGTATCTAGAAGTACCAACTAATGAGCTAACACATGTAAAAATTCACAAAATAAGATAGAAATTTGAAAATTTAATATGGCTAAAGAATTATCTTCAGTATTTCAAAATCTTTCTACAGACCACAAGAAGAGTCCCACTGACCTGACAGAGTTCAAGACTGAAAGAAACTTCTAACATTTGGCTTTTAAGTGGAAAATCAAAACGATACAACTGTCCTGACAGATCTCCAGAGTACATACATCACACAGATTTTTGCTGTTGTTTAATAGAATGCTACAAAACATACAAACCCTTTGTGGTCACAGCGATAAGTTCTGTTTCCAAACGGACAAGTTTTGCTTAAAAATACTGAAATATGTAGTGAAATTGAGATAAATTGGGAAGGCTGTAATAGTTGGGAAAAAGAAACGGAGTAATGAGATAGGCACTAAGGAGTGATGCAGCAGCCACTGAGAGAAGAGCTATCTTGTGTATGTACAATCAATAAAAGGTTCCTTTCAACCACAAAGCCATGGCCACTGGTGTGGATGGAGCAAATCTAATCAGCAAGAAGCCAAGCCAGGCTCCCTACTGAGTCAGTACAATAGATTTACCGAAAGTCATAGGTCAGTTTGAGGTAGTAGGCATGAGATGGCACTGACTGTACCCTGCTGACATATACGATTACTCAACTGAAACTGGGTCTGTCCCTCTGCAGCTAGACTTGCACTTGCTTTGCTGCACAGTGTGTTGCGTGGCTGATATACTCATGGGCAGACTGGAAAGAGCACTGCAGATTTAAAAGATTTTATATAAAAGCTTTTTTAACAGAAATGAAGACAAGCTCCCTGCTGAACTCCGTGACTTTCTCACCCTCTTCAAGAATAGGTGTTTTTTTCAGATACTTGCTGCAGTAAATGATATAGATGAGGAATGAGTCCCCCCTGGTGGCTTAGACAGACAGACACATGGGGAAACCTCTGTATCTTCTCCTATTCCTTTTTGCACTTCTATTGCACAAGTCAAGACTATTCCAATGCTTTTTATAATCAGCATAACTAGGGTCCATTTTAAAAGTATCTGGCTGGCTAATGGAAAAATGGGAACAGTAAGTTCTACTGGTATCAGGGCTAAAATATCACTTATGACCACAATCATAAAATCTACAACTTTGACTATTTTGTCTGGTCAAATTGTCTTTAACTCAGCATCTCTTCAGTCATTTTTAAATCTTTTCAGCTAATTCAGTTTTAGATGCTAGTGGCTTTTGATGCTTGTATTGATGCCATTCATAGAAGTGACGCCTTGTGAAGCTCACTGAAGCCTCGAACTAGCGCACTAGAGGTGTGAGAAGTCTGCTCTGCCCCTTTCAAGTCAGCATGAAGGTCACTGGAGAGAAAGATAAGAACGTCTACATATTTTATTTTTACTAAATACTCTTTCTTTACTATAATCTTTTTCTTGCATAATGTGATCCAGAAGGAAGGTGAAAAGGAGAGAAAGAAGTGGAAAGAGCTATACAATAGCATTATTTCACTAGAGTTTTGTGACAATTTATTTATTTTTAAATCCTTTGCAACTCTATTTAGTAGGGACCAACTCTCATAATCAGTTAACAGTACATAAACCAAATCCAAGTCTAGAGAATTTAGGACTTCATACCTATGACTTCTCATTTTCTCTATGAGATGACAAAAGTAGAAATTTAACTCCAAGCCTCCTCAATCATTTGTGATTAAAATCCTTAAAACTGATTTATAAACTGATTTATGGTATTTTTATCTTCTTTCTCAATACATCTAAAAACTGCTTAACTTACTTGTGATTGCTTTTCAAAATAATCACTTTGTATTTGGATTGTTGGCTGCAGATGAATACTTTGACCAGATAAGTACTTATAAGTCACTGAAATCTCCTCAGGAAAGATTTATAATATACATTATCATAATATCCCATCACAGAAAAATAAATAACAGTATAGCAGTACAGCAAAGTACTCCATTTCAAAATTTTAGTCAGACAGAATTAAAAATTATGTCCTAGTTCTTGGCATGTACCAAAACCTCATGTCAATGGAAAACTCTTTTAAGATGTTAAACATATTTAGTCAATAAAGAAAGAGGCAATAACAATTTAATTTTCTTTGCAGGACCATTTGTGAAAGTTTTTGAAGTTGATCTTTTCGCAGCTGGAAGCAGACATGTTTATTACTTCTGATCCTGGTTTTAGGGTTGCTGCTGAAGACACTCTAATACAAAAGGGCTGTATAAGGCATAAGACAAGTACTCACAAAAGAAAAACACACTTAGCAATCAACGTGAAGAATAGAAAACTGTAGCAATTTATGGATAAATCTCTCTTCTCAAATCGTCTTTGACAATGTTTATAATGGAAATAGAAAGTCATGCCCAGGGATACTAGAAAGAGGTAAAGGATTCAGCTCCTCTACAAGCAGCTGATGAAGTGCTTGAGAGTGCCAGGGGAGTCCAACCCAAGAGCACTGCACCAGCACATACCCACTGGTGAGTTGGTAGCATTTGAGTAAGAAATCAGATAGTTCTGGAAAGAAAGTGACATGCATTATTCTGAATATCTTTTTTAAATGCTGTATTCACCTTGGTTTAGTGGTTTGATAAGAATATATCACAATAAACCACTGAAGACTATTAAAGTGAAGCAAATACACACCAGGTGGTATCCCGTGGAAACAATTATGTTGGAAATAACTCTTTACCCGTTGCCAGTAGGCTTATGGTTTATTCTTTCCAAGCCAAGCTTAGGATTAAAGCTTACAGTTACACTCTAAAGTATACATTAAACCATTAAGGTTGTCAAAAAGAAGATAAAGCAGAGGGTGAAGGGAGAAGAAAGGACTGTGTCCTACCTGAGGCTGACAGAAAGCACACCACAGTAACACAGTCAACCCTGGTATTCCAGAAATGTAGACAGCTGGACATGTTTTCTAGCTGTTTGCTCTTGTTCTCTGTTCTTCTCTGCTTAAAATAGCTGCTCACTGAGGTCTGTTTAGCTGTGGGATAATCTTATTATAGTGGATCCAACTCCTAACTAGCACACTTGTCCCATTTCTCAGGGAGGCTGCAGCAGGCCATGTTGTATATGGGTGCATGAAGAATTCATGGTATGAGCACAGAACTTCAGAGCAACCAAATTACAGCAGCTTACCAAGTTTCCACCTATTAAGTTATACTGAACAATTGTAATAATTCACGTGTGCTCTTAATTTTTACAGCACAAAGAGAATTTCATGAAGTTTCCATCACCTAAATTAGTCCTTCACAGTAACATGCAAAAATCTACACATAATTTCTTCATCTTTTCCAACGTGATCTTTGGTTTGTCATAAAGCAAGCTCCAGTGAAATTAGTTACCTTTTAATTCTAGAGTGTGGCTAAGAGTGTGAAGTACCTCAGAGATTTAAAGATTTCCCTTTGAAGTATCAAAAGAAGATAATTTTCTCATCAGAATTTTTTACATTTGCAAGAAAAAAACTGAGGGTTGTGGGATAATTTAAAAATAACAATAAAGAATTACAAGAAGCATTATGCTTTATAATTAGGAACAGATAGAGACTAATGAATAATATTGTGTACAAAGTAAAAAAACTTGAGACAACACCGGCAAGAAAATAACAGTAGTCAAAGAGCAAAAAGAAAAATTCATAGGTATCTTGTCTGTTTTCTTTGGAAAAATAAGCAGTTATCTATGACCTTTTGTGTAAGCTTTTAAGGCTGGAAGAGGATAGGAAGAATGTGTCTAGGCTTGAGACGTTTCATATATTTCTGCTCTTCACAACAAATTGAGTGAAACTGGTACCAGAGTAAGATGTGAGATCCAGCTGCTGGGACAAGTGATTGGTTGGTACTGGAGAGGCTGCAGGAGCTGGCAGCCAAATAGTAGGTGTAGCCTTGTAAATGAGAGAGCTTGTAAATCACCTGTTTTAGAAGACTGGACTTTTACATCAGTATTTCCTTCAGAATTTCCATGCGTATGAGCACATTCTCTAGGTCTTATAAATTAATTGTTTCTTCCATGTTGAACGCACGTTACCTACACACAAAAAAACATCAGGAACTTCTAGGGATGAAAACATTAGCAAGTAGTAATACTTGGCAATTAGAGCAGTTTTTCACCAAGTGTATAAAACTGAAGAAAAATAAACTTGAATAGTTCACAAAATTAATAGGATTGAGAAGGATGTGGAACTAACATAATCAGGCTTTGGACATTACTTAATAGCAACCTGTTTATTGAAACACTCACGCACACTACAGTCAATTATCTTGCAGAATTTGTTAGTAGACAAGAAGGCCTGTTTTGGTTTATGTGTATTTCCTAGCTTAGAAGGACACCAAGCATTTCAGAGTCTCCCACCTGGAAATGCATGCAGTGCACTACGGAGTATCTGTATCAAGACAGACTGTTCAGAACCCAAAGTAAAAGAGAAAAGCATCTAGAAGTCCTTTTAGATCACATTTCCATTCCTTTAGTTTGTTTCTAATGCGAAGAACAAACTACAGTTGTTTGAATACTAGTCTCTGCTGCTCTTAACCAGTGCCAGGGATCTAAACCAGTCACATATGTGCAAGTATACTTGAATACTGTGTTCAGTTTTTGGGCCCCTCACTGCAAGGAGTGCTGGAGCGTGTCCAAAATGCAATGAAGCTGGTGAAGGGTCTAAAGCACATGTCCTGTGAGAGACAGCTGAAGGAACCGGGGTTGTTTAGCCTGGAGAAAAGGAGGCTCAGGGGAGACGTTACCACTCTCTGCAACTACCTGAAAGGAGGTTGTGGTGAGGTGGGTGTTGGTCTCTTTACCCAAGTAACAAGTGATGATACGACGAGAGGGAACAAACTCAAGTTGCACCAGGTGAGGTTTAGATTGGATATTAGGAAAACTTTCATCACTGAAAGGATTGTCAAGCACTGAAACAGGCTGCCCAGGGAAGTGGCTGAGTCACCATCCCTGGGGGTATTTTAAAAGATGTAGAGACATGGTTTACTGGTGGACTTGGCAGCATTAGGTTTGCAGTTGGACTCGATGATTTTAAGGGTCTTTTCCAGCCTAAATGTTCCATGATTCTAAGTACACACTGTCAGTAAATACTGCAAAAAAAGCCAAATCTGATAATCCTGGGATTATACACAAGGACATGCAGAGGTGGAAACCCTAACAAGGATGGGGGCAAAGCCATACTTATTTGGCAACCACGACAAGTATTATTTTAAGATTTACAATTTGGTTGTTTCTCAAACTGAGTTTGTCAAGTTAGCAGCAAACACGGTAGAAGCAGGTAGAATATTGTGCATCACTAGTAAGCTTGGTCTTCCCTTTCTTTAGTACAAAAGTACTATTAAAAGAAAACTGGAATTACCATTATTTTCAAGTTGCATATTGGAAATATAAAATACTTTTTGAGACTACATCACAGCCAAACCCATCTATATTCTGGTAGAAATTTGGATTTTTATTTATTTTTTTAAAATCATCTATGTGTCATAAAGCAACCTACTAGCTTAACTTGTATTTCACTGCAAGAAGACAGAGAGAAGAAATAATGTTTAATTTACACACTTTTTTTGAAGAACTTAGCCAATAGGATGAAAATCTCTTACCATTGCTGCTTAAATCTGAATTGGCCAAATCTCAAATTTCTCAAACAGTGAAAATTTTCTGCAGTCAGAAGAAAAGGATGATGATTTTAATATTGCTCAAGAGGTACATAAATATAATTTCAGGGCTTCCTCTTGCAAACTCCATTTCCTGTTCTCCCTGTATTTGGTATTTAAAGATGAAGTTAACTTCATCCACAAGCACAAAAAGAGCAATCACATCAGACATGGAAAGAATGGAAATATTATTTTTAATAAGGTATAAAACATAATTTTAATAAGGACAAGTAGTACAACCAAGTGATTGGAATTGCTTGTTAATGGCCTCAAATCTTTAATAACATTTATGGATTTTTTTTTATACTATTGTTACCTATGGAGTGATACTGGCTTAATGGGGCTAGATCAAGTTTTTAAAACTATAGCTGTACCAACACAAAAGAATTGCCTGGATGGGATAATTTGCTTTTTCATTACTCAGAAAGTACACTGAGAGCAGTTTCAACAGTCAGAAAAACAACATTTAAAATGTTAATATGGTCTAGTGTCATCCTATGACAGGAAACTGAAATAATAGTCTTGGAATATATTTAGACTTTTAAATAAAATTTTCCAGCTAGAATTTAGGAAACATCTGGAAAGGCAGCTGTAATTATTTTCTCTTTATTTGCAGTATCAGGATAACTTAATGAGTAGCAAGCATCCGTTTCACTCATTACAAAGGGCACTAATACAAAAGGATTTTTTTTTTTTTTAATTTGGTAATTTTTTAAGCCTCAAAATATTTAGGCCCTTTATTATTTGAAAACAATTTTCTGTCAGTTTACATGACAAACCTCTCCTTGGGCTAAAACTATTTAAATCCCATTTCTGCATACTCAAGATTTCAGAACCAGTCTAATCACACAGAAAGATCTAATCCTCTTTTTACTTGAGCTTAAGGTGGCTTCCTCTGCACTGCTAAAAATCAAGAGGTATATTTTTTAAAGGCACAAGGTCTAAACAGTACTGCACAGAAAATTCCCTTTTGCTTCCTCACCTTACATAAATGCTGACAGAATACATTTTAACCACTAGCTGCTAGTATTTTCTTTAAGTCAGTTCAAATACAGCACCTGTTTTCAATGGGATATTCAGAAGCACACATGCTAAGGTGCTTCCCCCTGCCCAAGAAAAGAGGCTTCTTGCTTTCCACCTCTAGGGACAAGAGTTGCTCCAAGGGGGATTAGTTTAAGAACCCATTGAGGTAGCTAATTACTGGGACACAGCCATTCTCCCTATCTTCTCCAGAGGCCTGAAGGCCTCCAGGAGGCTGCAGCAGGAACTAGCAACAATACCTGTCTGCTTTCTAAAGACTCCTCCTGGCTACCGATGCTCTCACAAAGGGAAGTGAAAGCTGTCTCCCCTCCCTTCATACCACCAGCAGCACTGACAAAAAGGCCCAATCTATTTGGATTAAGTACAATTAATCTGTAAGGTTTAACTAATGAGTACCAATGATTTTTCTTTTATGAATGATTCATTCTGAAATGGAGATGGTGAGATTGCTGACCAGCCCATGCATTTGAGTTCTCCTGGAGAGTTAACAATAAAAATCAAGCCAAGAACAAATAAGCACAAGACAGATCTAAGCTTTTTGGTTTTTTTTTTGTTTGTTTTTTTGTTTTTGTTTTTTTTTATATATTTGTGTCATTAACTCTGAAGAAACCCTCACATTGTTTAAAAGGTTAAAAAAAAACAGTGGGTTTTTTAATACATTCCAAAATCCATTTGGGGAACTCTAGCTATCTGATGCTAAGAAAGTGTAATAGAATTTTACATTCTTTCACATATATAGCACTGCACCATGAACAATGATGGTGACATTCATTATCTTCAAATCATTTTCTTTCACCAGCTTCGTTTTCCTCCTCGAGGTTAAAATTAAAGAATTTGTCATAGCCCATGAGATGGTTGTAATCCTGAGGATTTGGGAAGAGTGTTGGATTAACAAGCATTGATTTTGTTTTAGCATAAAATGTTGTAAACATCTTGGTGATGTCTGGAATCTTTACATCTTTCTGATGGAAAACAGTCGCTTTTTCTGCCAAGACCGCATTGTACGTAATGGCTGTATACGTGTCCATTTCATCTTTATAATAGAGTCGAATCACATAGCCTTTTGTAAGGACATGCAAAGTAACCGGTGTTACAAATGTAAAAAACCCAATCAACCCATAAAAGGCAACTTGCATAAGTAGACTTTCAAATCCAATACCAGTTTTGAGCATGATGTAGGGCATCGTGAACAGGTTGAATATGCTGGTGGAGTAAGAGAAAAACCTCACACCTACATAAAACAAAACAAAGAGAAAACAAAGGTTAATACTTACAAGTAAAATTTTCTCTATAATCATATACGTTCTGCTACTATATATTGATGACATTACTTGAACAGCTGAAGTTACTGAAAATCTACTTCTGTTTCTTTTTTAAGCTCACAAAGAAACCACTGGAAGTTGAACTCTGCCTTCTTGCCACTGTTCTGTCTTGTTTCTATGTTCATGTTGGGTTTATCAAAGCTGGCAGGTGGCTCTATTTCTATGGTAAGAGTCAGCTACTAACTATTATGCACACCTGTGACATTTTTACTTCACAGATAGGAAACTGATTTCAAAAGAAACTAGACTCCAGTCATGGGTAAACATAGTGACAATAATGATAGATACAACTGGGAATTTCTCTCTTCATCAACAACTAATACTGACATTCAGTGTGCATTGCAAAGAAGCTTGCTTGGACCCTCACCATGCATAACTTGAAAAACCTAGGTTATTCAATATTAGTAAGTACTCCACAGTCATGCTGCATGCACTTTGAGAGACAGTAGTCAGTGTTGTAGATTACGCACAGTCCCTAAGCCACCATGAGCACCAGTAGTCTAACATGCTGTGATAATTAAGTATGTTAAGGCATACTTTCTCCTTCTTTAAGACACATTTCAAAAATGTGTATCAGAAAACATCCAATTGATTATCTTTCATTTGGTCTTTATAACATTAACTGGTCAAAGAAAGATCAACAAAGTCTCATTACAGATAGTGTATTCCATCATAGTATTTGTCTACTTCAGAAACATTTCAGTAACACTTGAAAGCATATAGAATGTAAACAGCAGTACAACTAGTCTTTGTTTGCTACTGGATTGGGCAATGCATTCCAAAGGCTGCAAGAGACACAGGAGGCTGAGGGGTTACATAGATGTACAGTACCTACAGAACTCTCTGCATGCTTAACTGTAGAAGCAGAACCCAAGCACTGACACAATATTATTTTGCTGTACAGAGGATCCAAGATTTAGCGCACTTGGAAAGGAATACTCACACTTATAACATTGCATTTTAAAGTTATTAACCACTGTCAAATAATAAAAAAGCACTACAAATCACTTCAAGTCACATACCTAACACTGCCTTTGCCAAATTTCCTTTATAAACTAATCTTCCATGTTCTGGGTGTTCATGAGGGGAGGATGTGCATAGGCTGCGAAGAGCCACTCCTTGAAAAGATGCAACCTGAAAGATGAAAGCAGTACACAGACAAGCAACATCAGTACCAATCTACACATTACACACAT